ACTGAGGGTTGTGTGGAATAAATTTACTAGCAAGGTCCAAAACTTGAGGTTTTTGTTTCAGTGGGGTTCTGTAGTAAGGTTATGAGGAGTAAGAATCTTACCTGCTGTATGCATTTTTTGAGCAACTTTAGTTCAGAGAAAAATAAATTAGTTCTGACCAATTAAATTAAATTAACCAATTTCTGACCAAAGAAATTAGTTCTGTCAAGCTAACACCAAGTTCAATTAGTTTGTTAGAAAGCGTATTGTTATTTGCAGCTGAGGCACACACAGGAAACAGACTCAGATTTAGACTTGAACATTTAATTGCAGAATAAAGTCTCACACAACCATCAGTTGGACCAAAACAGACCTGAACAAAATCTTAGAGTTTTGGTACTGGAAACAAAACAGCAGAAAAGTTTTATCAAGCAAAAAGACCAGCGACAGAGTCAGATAGAAAGAGCCCTCACTGCCTGTGACCCGGTCCTTAAGCATAAATCATTCAATCTGATGAAAACATTGTGTGTTTTTCTGCTTGTTTAGTGTAAGGTGTGTTTTATTTAAACCACTATTAATGTCACGAGTCACTTGAAACAGAGTGCACACTATTTAATCAAAACCTGATCACACAACATAAAAATATATACGTAATTGTGCATTTGGTTATCAAAAATAGTTTAGATATAAAATAAAAACATGTACATGTGACGTACAGTTAAAATTCTTTGCAAACAAAAACAAGCAAAGCATTTTCTGTAAAATGTGTTGCAAAGTAAACTTGTTCATAACCTGTAAACTGTCTGTAAAAAGTCTCTGTTTATCAAGGAAGCTGCCTTTATACAGTAAATATGTAGATTAGACATTACTTATGAAGTATAAGTGTAACTTCAGAAAATGCAGATTAATTTGAAATCAGCAATTTGGAAGAATATTTTCTCCTTTAGCCTAGAGAGCCTGACGTTCATGCAATTTCTGAAAACAGCAGAAATGTTTCAAGACAATTTTAATTTAGGTCACAGCCTGTCTTATTTAAAGCTAGTGCCTGAGTGATGTTATTTTCATCTTGTTTGTGTATGTATTGTCTCTCACAGAGTTTTAACTTGTACTTGTGACTTGAGAAACAATGTGTGCACTGCCAGTGGTTTTCAGAAATCTTTAAAAATCTAAAACAATAAGTGCAGAGCACTGAACAATTTTTACCCTGCTTTGCAAAACACTGCACTGTGGATATATATAAAAT